TCCAGTGCATGTTAGCAATTTGGTCTCTAGTTCCTCTACCCCTTCAAAAGCCAACTTGTACTTCTGGGAGTTCTCAGTCCACATACTACTGAAGCCTACCTTGTAGGATTTTGACATAACCAAACAAATCAGATTTGGAAACCATAGGTCTTGTAGCATATTTATGATTAACCAGTATTTTTTTTTTTATAAATATGTCATCTACATTGGCTTGGGCATGTTGTGAGAATGGCTGATGGTCGGATTCCAAAAGATCTCCTGTATGGAGAATTAGTGCAGGGAAATTGCCCTGGGGGAGACCACAGCTGTGATACAAGGATATCTACAAGCGGGATCTGAAGGCCTTAGGAATGGACCTCAACATGTAACAAACCTTGACATTTGAGCATTCAGCCTGGAGGCAGGCAGTGCAGCATGGCCTCTCCCAATTTGAAGAGGCACTTATTGAGCAGGCTGAGGCAAAGAGACAGTCCTGAAACCAGCAAAATCAGGGAGCTGTACAGGGGACAGATTGTATTTGTCTTCTGCGTGGAAGGGATTGTCACTGAGGCAGAGACAGTCCTGAGACCAGAAAAATCAGGGAGCTGGACGGGGGACAGATTGTATTTGTCTTCAGTGTGGAAGGCTAGTATTTGGCCTTCTCGACAGATTGTATTTGTCTTGAATGTGGAAGCTCGTATTTTGCCTTACAAGTCATAGTAGGCGCTGTTCCAAGACCTCTATTTAGAGCATGTTACCATAGTCTTTCAAGACTGAAGGATGCCTAAAAACATATTTCATAAGCTTTTGCGTCCAAACACCAAAGGCTATGAAAAATAAAATAAAAACTAGTTATCCGTAAATAAGTACAGTATTCTAGTTTCTTTTGTGCTACAACAAACAATGCTACTTATTAAATTACATTGAATTTAGGTGGCTTTCGATAGGAAAAACTTACATGCATATTGTTCATTGCTATCTATCTATATCTCAGTAACTTACAATAATGTCCAGTTTGGATTTTGGATAGAATGTAAATATTCTATGTAAGTATTAGTAAGTGGATTTTAAGAGGGGAAAATAAAACTGATCTTAGATGTGTTAAAAATCCATACTTAATTTTTGGGGTGTTATCTATTTTAAGGTAAGGACTGTAAACCTTTGGTTGATTGACACTTGCATCTTTATGTTTGCTTAGCTAAGAAAAAGGCAGAGGAAGAGGAGAGAGAAAGACAGAAACAATATAAGATTTTGGAAAATAGATTAGCCTCAGATGAACTACAGCTGAAACAAAATCCAACAAACACAGAACTGAAAGAGAAGATAAAGGTAATACACCAGATAAATATATTGCTGGAGGATGGGTGGAGCTAGAAACAGCAAAGCAGCAGGAAACTGGGCTCTCCAGAAAACCTGTTGCATGCCATGAATCCAGACACCCCCCAAGAAATTGGGGGTGGGGGAGGGCCAGAAGAGGCCACCCTGAGTAGTAGGAGAGCTGAGATATGTTTTTCTATATGTTTTTGCTTGTTTTGTGTGTTTTTGTTGGTTTTTGTATGTCTATATGTGTCATAAAATAAAAAATTTTAAAAAAGAAAAAAGAAAAAGGCAGAGGAAGAGGAGAAGGAAAGGAAGATAGAAGTTTCATGTCTGCATGATTTGTGACAAAGTTACTTTGATTTAATTGAGACTATAAGTGATAGTCTATGTGTTTATATTCAGAATTAAAGTTTCAAGAAGTTTACTCCCAGAAAGTTTATGTAGGTTTCAGGCCGAGTTATACAAATTTGTCTTAGCCCAACTGTTATATTATTGATTGGCTAAAACAATAACAACAAAAACCCTCCAGCAGTTAGAAAGGAGAATCCACCAAGCTACATCTCCAAAGGAATTTCATCCTGGAGTGACTTCTTGGAGATAATTAAAAGTTAGCCTTTGCAGTTTTCATCAGTGTACACTCAATAAGTATCAAAAGTTTATGCATTAATACTAATTGCTTGTCTTATTGGATCATTTATCTCTTTAACTATCTGTGTAGTTAACAATCTGATCTTTTGAGACCCTGGACTTGGTTTTTTTTATGTCACACGCACAATCTTCTGTGTAAACAAATCTTGTCATTATTTAGTGGAAACACTTCTATCCCACTCTTCATTATTCTTAAATTATAATTCCCAGTTTGATCCATTGTCTTTACAAACAGAGCCTTCATGCTCAAATCTTGACATGTCCTTAACTCCATAATAGAGTCCCCAGCAAAATTACAGCAGAATCATCCTGAGACATAAGTCTCATGTGGCATCTAAAACACTTGCATTTATATTCTGTACGTTTCATTATCTGTGATTGTCCATGAGCAACTGGAGAGGGTGTGCAGTACCAGTGTCATTTGCCATTCAGCTGAATTACATTTTCAAGGTAAAATGTATTATTTTATTTAATGTTAACTTTAACTCTATATGATTACGGTGAACACTGTGTAACAATCAATGAATTCATTTTCTGATAAGCAATGCTATTGGAAATCAGTGTTTATTTAAAACAGTCACAGTCTGGTGTCTTGAATTGAGATGACTGTTATAGCCTTCCTTAGTTATGGGTTTGTATTACAAGTTCCACTAGAAGGTGTAACCCATCCTCGGAAGGATGGAAGGCTGAGTCAACCTTGAGCCGGCTACCTGGGATTTGAACCCCAGGTTGTGAGCACAGTTTTGACTGCAGTCATCTCAATTCAACAGACTCCAGACTGTGACTGTTTTAAATGAACACTGATTTCCAATAGCATTGCTTATCAGAAAATGAATTCATTGATTGTTACACAGTGTTCACCGTAATCATATAGAGTTAAAGTTAACATTAAATAAAATAATACATTTTACCTTGAAAATGTAATTCAGCTGAATGGCAAATGATACTGGTACTGCACACCCTCTCAAAAAAGGGGTCTAAATATCAGCATAAGCACTTTGAACTTGGCCCAGAACCATACAGGCAACCAGTGCAGATGGGACCAGGCCAGATGATATATGATCATATTGTGATATACCAGAGACTAGCCTGGCAGCTGTGTTCTTCACCTGCTGCAGCTTCCAAACCGGCTTCAAGGGCAGTCCCAGGTAGAGAGCATTGCAATAGTCTGTTTTCCAGATTACAAAGATGTGGACCAGGCATTTCTAAAACACTTTAAGTTACTTGTCTTTCCAACAAAGATCTAGTCTCGATAAGCTTTCCCTTCTGAAAAATGACGTACCAATAACTGTAAAGAAAAATATATAAGAATATTGTGATATAGAAATTATTTAAGTTTTAGATGTTATGCTGAACATATGTAGAGGTGGAGAGCTCTATTTATTCAGTAAAAGATCTATATTAAGGATGTGCATTCCCCCCCCCCCCANGCCCCCCCCCCCCCAAGTTAGGATCACACTGATCTGAGCCAATTCATCCTGTGCCCTTTTGATAATACTTGGAACCAAAAATATTTGGATCTATAACAGTATTTCTGAGTTTCCAGTTCTCTTTGAAAGTCCCATTCTTGGGTTGCCCAAACCCTGAGTGGTGAAACGAGACAGAAGATGCCCTGTTTATTTTTATTTTTTTATTTTCCCTCTTCTTTTTCTTAACTGTCAGGAGACAGTCATACTTCCTAAGACACCAACAGGAAATGAAGTGAGTCAGGGAGTTTAAAAGGATGGTGGACAGGGTCCTCTTTGATTCCTTTTTGAAATGACAGTGAAGGGAAACTGTTTTTCTCTAATTTTCCCTTCTTTTTCTTAACTCTTTCCCCCATCCCTTCTTCTCCTATAGATCTAAAATTAAAGTTGCTCTAGCTACAGGACAGACTTTGATTATTTAATTTCCAGTAGGAAAGGCAAGGAAGGTTCATTTCTAAGCTAAAAATTTCCTCAGTTTTGTTTTGTTTTGTTTCCCCTCCAAATTCTGAAAGATTTAGAAAGGGTGTTGCTTACACTGTGGCTGACCAGTGTAAGCACCACCATTCTGTACTTCTCCAGAAATACAGAAATATCTCAGATGGTTTTGTTGTATATCCAATTTTCCAAAGAACAGCATAAATCCCCAAAGCAGGCTTGCAGAGCCCGAGATCCTCCGCATGTTGTTTGACTGAAGTTCCCACATACCTTCTGTGTATTTATCTGTGTTTTGGAGAATAATTCTTCTTCTGAGTTGTCTTGACCCTCCATTTGGAGAGAACTAAATAATAACTTTGTGGTGCCAACTCAATTCTGGCTTATGGAGACCCTGTTCAAGGTTTTCTACATCCACAGAACTCAGAAGTGGCTTACCATTCCCTTCTTCTGGGGACAGCCTGGGGCTGTACAGGTTGCCCAAGGCCACACAAGCTGGCTCTCCTCACAGGACACACAGTGGGGAGTCAAATTCCCGATCTCTTTCCCTACATAAACTACTGAGCTATCCAGCCAGCTTAAGAAAATTGAGATATAAATCAAATCTATTAAACTGACAGCAGTATCAGTTGATTCAAGACAGATATTGCCTCATTACATTTTTCTGGGGAGATATGGGGTGTGAGAATTAGTCAGATACATTTTCATTTCTTCTCATGTTGAATGGGAATGTCCAAGAGCAGTGAGGGACCTAATGTCAGTCTGTGTGCAGATTATAGAAGAGCATGGAAACGGTGGCCATCCAAAAGTTGCCAGATTACCAATCCTTGATTGCAAAGGCCACAGTTTCCCCATCACTGGCATACAGAGTACTGTCATATATTCAAGCAGGCCTTCCCTTCAGTCAATTAAGTGATGCTTATTTCTTATTTCTTTCCTTTTAACTCTTGCCATCTTGGGACTCTTTACTTTTAAATTAATTGTTAAAATTGTAAGTTCTTTGATTTTATATTTCTCTGTTTTATCTATGTAAATTGTGTATATTTTAAATTGTTTCTATTTGTATGTTGTGAGCCGCCCAGAGTAGACCATGTCTAGATGGGTGGCATATAAATGCAATAAAGAAATGCAATAAAGAAAGAAAGAAAGAAGATTATTTATGAGGGGAAGGAGCGGCTGCCTTCAGGATTTGCCATCATTTGTTTTTCCAAGTGGCCACAGGACTGATATCAGCAATAGACATTTTTGGGCACCCACTAAGCTTCACATCTGAATAAAGGAGCTCATGGATAACTTCCAGAG